ATGTTACGTCTACTTTTAGTCTTCAAGCCAAACGCTGGCAGACCCTGTGAGCATAGCTCCCATAACAGGGCTGCCAGACCCTCGTCATCCCCACAGACTGCTCTGGAAGTTGTCTTATTTGTCAACATCTCTCTTCAAATGTGACAGCCAGAAAGGGACACAATACTACAGATGTCATTAATTAGAGCAGGGCACTATTAATTTCTGTGACATATGGACACAATACTCGTATTAGAATGTAAATTTGATTTTTTTTGCAGCCACATTGTGCTGCTAGTTCAAATTAACCTTTTTCCTTAAAAATCACTACCATGTAAAGTTACCCCCTTCCTCACACTTCAATGTATTATAATGCATTTACTAGTATAAAATCTTTTTTTTTTTTGCATAGCATTGCAAACTATTGAATCCATGTTAACTCTAAGTTCCGCTATCTATTTATAACAGTTATCCCTTTTTAAGTCATCTGTGGATTTTAAAGCAAGCACTCCAAGAGTTTGTCAGTCATTCATAAAATTTTGAAGAAGAGAACCAAGGCAAAGGCTTGTGGTCCCTCACCAGGGACCATTCCCAGACCCAAACTCAAAATCCACGCACCTGGCAGGTGCTGCGTCAGCCAGCCTTACGCTCACAAAGCAATCCTGGTAGTCTACATTCCACGTCACAAACAGGAGTATCCTAAAGCCTTGCCAAATGTTTTGTTGAAAGCAAAGTTCGTCTACCTTTAAAAACAAAGTATAAAAAACTGCACATACTAAAATTATAGTTAGGTAAGAATATACACGCACATGCATATCAGAAAGGTAGGAGCATCAGTACAAAAGTTCTAATGCCAGACTGTGAGATCATTTTTTACTAGATACTGCCTTTGCTATAGTTACGCTGTTCAAAAATTGAAGATACTGGGAATTTTGCTTAGAGAGCATTTGGCTTGGCGGCAGTTTACATGAAACAGCTTTAAAAGCACTGAGGTTCTCCATGTAATTCCACCAACTTGAAAACCCCAACGAGAAAAAAAGTCATTTGAAAAGACTTGTTGATCTTTAGAAACACCAGCTTCTTTCTTATTTTTTAAGTTTGCATTGCTGTTTTGGGCTTAATATTTATTTCTGGAAATCAGAGGGACAGCAGACTGGATCCTAAAAGTTTAGGAAAAGACTGGGTGTTTTTACATTTGTGTTGTCTGTCTGTCTGTCACGTCCGTCTCTTTGTCTCTGCTCGTTGGAAAGAATGGAGAGATAAACAAAATCATCATGTTAATATTTCTATGAAGCTCCTGACTGCAACAAAGCTCCAGCCCAGGAAACTCTAACCAACACATAACACCCATACCATCTATTCACTGTGAGTCCCTTTAACACCAAGAATAGAATTAACAGTAGAATCTGCAATGATGTTAGAACTGAGGTAAGGGTCACTAAAGAAAAGGGGTCAGGCAGAGCAAGTGTGGTCAGTCAGGGAAAAAAGAAAAAGGAACCATGTGACTATTTTGGGAGAAAATGTGATCTATAAATACTGCACTTATTAGAATTCCAAACAATTTGATTATTTGATTGAGAATTTTGACATGTCAGGGTTTCTTCAGTGTTTGAGCATTTTGGTTAGAGCATGGTTTTCATCAGTGGAAAACCAGTGTCAGAAACTGGTTACATGTCATGTTTACCTCTTTGACGATGTCTCGCACCAGCATTTTTTATTAAAGACAAGTGAAAATTCTACTTTGTTTAGACACACAATTTGTCAGCTCTCCTAGAATTACAGCTACATATATGAGGTAAATCAACAGCTTTTAAGTTTATGGCAAACTCTTAATAATAAATGGATAAAATTATCAAATATTAAGTCCAGTTAATATTTGACCACTGAAAATTTTACTTTGCAGAGGAATAAACTTTCCCACCATTCTAAAAGTTAAGCCAACTGTATGTGGTAAATCAGCAGGTTCCTATATCCATAGCAAATAGTCATTTGATGTAGGAAAATGTCCAATTAAAAAGTCCAGTTATTATTTGACCAGTGAAAATTCCACTTTGTTTTGAAATACAATTTTCCTACCATCAGAGAAATTAAGCCAAATACATTAAGTAAATCAATAACTTCACAAATGGAAAACTGTCATAAAATAGGTAAAATGTCCAAATAGAATGTATAGTTATGATTTGACAGGTGAAAATCCCACTTTGGTTTGAAATACAACTTCCCACTAAACTAGAAGTTAAAAATATAAGTGGTAAAGCAACAGTGTCATAGATCCACAGCAAATTCTCATTAAGATGGATTAAAATGTTTAAATACAATACCCAGTTATTATTTGATAAAACAGATAATGCGCATTAGCAACTTTTTTGCCTTAAATATAATTTGGGGCAAAATGGGTAAGAAACAGTCAACATTGGGTACAAATTACCTGAGAAAATCCAAAATGCACTTATGATTCTAAATGTCAAAAATTATTTAAAAGTCTTTATTAATATTTTTGTGATTAGTTTTTAATGTTTTGTTGCTTTAGAAACACAAAAATATTACTTAAAGTACTGTCTATTACTTAAAGTATTGTGTACTTTGTTATTTTTAACATTTTGTTATAGATAAGAAAGATTACTGGAAACCACTTATTTACTGATATTTATTTTTCCTTGAAAATTCTATTTCTAAGGCAAAGTAAAAATTATTTCATATGTAGAGAAATAAACAACGCAAGGAAATACACCAAAATAATAACTATGTGTATGCTAGAATAGTGAGATCAGAAAAAATTCTCAGTTCTCTGGTTATAAATCTTCATGTACCAATGTTCACTTAAAATTTTAACTAGAAAAAGTGATTAATATTATATTATTCCCTTTTTAAAAAGTCTCTGAAAATGTAATTATTTGACAGTTAAGACTCTTTGGAAAGAAAATAATGGAGAAAATTAATTTGGCCCCATTTTTAATTGCAGAAATTACATATAGGCAACTCTCTGAAAATATATGTAGTAGTTAGGTACATATATATGTTTAGAGAAATTCTGAAAAAGTAAACTCCATAATGTTTCCTGGGACTATTTTAGAATGAAGAGGTTACAGGTGATCTTGATTTACTTTTGTATTTTTTTCTGGTTTTCTGCAGTATTTTTACCTGAATTTTGTACAATGAATAGAAATTACTTTTATTATAATAAAAATAATACTAAAGCTTTTTAAAAAATAGTGATTAACATTTTCAAATAAAAATCAGTTGTTTCAAAGTTTAAAAGTGTCAGGATAATTTTTAAACTTGAATTTCCTCTACCAGCTCTACTACTTTTTACTACCATTTTTAAGAAAAGAATACCTATTAGTTAACAACTACGTGATGTAACTTTTCTGGATTAAAATAAACCTAAGATTTCAACAATTCTGTGGCCATCCCAGCAGTACTCTAGCAAATGTAAGAAATCCTGAAATTACTCTATCTTGCAGAAAAAAGTGGACATCCTAAAAATTAAAAGGCACTAGTAAAAAGTATAATTGTGTTTTCCCCAAGTTCCTCGAAAAATATCTTTCATTGTTGAGAATCTGTATTTCATTCATTCATAGTCTAATGGTCAACATTTCATTTCTGATAAAAAAAGTAAAATCTCAGTAAATCTGCTGCAATTTTGTTTACTCCTAGAAAGGCTCGCTTTAAGTAAGATTCCTGCCACCCTGTCATCTAGAATGGGTCAAATTCTTATTTATCCTCTCCATATAAAAGAATCTGTAGCAATGATACTAAAATATGCGAATTTTAGCCTTCAAATACAAATATGTCTCATCTGTTTAAGGAAGCTTACTCGGATGTAGACAATTTGTTTTTCCATTTTAACTTATTATGCTCAGATTATCAACACATTGACTGTTTTCTTAGCGCCTAACACTCTGGGGCGCTTAAATGGAAATCTACGTTAACGCTTTTTTTTTTAAGCATCCTTCCGCATCAGTATTTTAGTTGTCTTGTAACCTATTGCAATTTTCTATAACATAAAAATATATATATTTATACGTAGGGATACGCACAAATATTTGTGGCTGAACCTCGGCAATGCGCTTCAAAGGATTAACATGAGGTTGCCGTGATTAAATGTATTCATTCTCTCTACAAGATTTATAAAAATGTAACGTTGCAGGGAGAGTTGGTCTCCGCAAAAACCTCGTAATCACCACCAAAAGGCCATGGCTGCGAGCCTCGGAAGCCCGCCAAGCACACTGGAGGCATCCACAGCTGTTTTTAATTGTTTTTGCTTTCTCGAAATAGTGCACTTGGTGGGGCAAACGGTGCCGTTTGCAGCGTCTCTGGCTCCTCAGCCGGGTTAACCCTGACCTGAATGCCTGCTTAGTTCCAGCATTTCATGATTCCGCTTCCCTGCTCCTTAAAACCAAAGAAAAACGAAAAATCCGCCGCCGAGAAATGCGCTTAGTAAGAGGCGGGGGGGTGGGGGACGCGGAATGTTTCAAATGTACATCAAATGTACATATTTCTGTTCTCTCTGGATCAGATTCAAGAAAAGAAACAAAAAGGTGTGTTTCTGTAGAGGGGTTACACAGTTTTACACCCATTTCCTAAAGGCTTACCCCTGGGCATCAAAACCCCAATAGAAGGGTAACGGGACCCCCCCCCCCTAAAAAAATAGGCAACAACCCTAGCTCTTTCCTGCAGAAATAGAGAGAGGTCCACCATCAAAGATGGAGGTGGGGGGTGGGAGTGGGGGTCACAGGGTTGGGAATGGAAATTGAAGATTACATTTCTGTGCTCTCTGGTCAGGGAGGGGCCTGCGGGGGTGCAGAGAAAAAGAAAAGGCGATGGGTCAAACCCGAGCAACGACACACGAGGCCGGAAAGTGGGTTGCGGGGGTCTTGGAAGAGGGGTACTGTGGGAACCGAGGCAGCGAGAGGGGCTGACACCCAGAAAATGCAGCTGGGTACCCAAAACCTGGGTGGGGGATGGGGAGGTGGAGGCCTGTTGGCCTCAGTACCTCCCATCGCGCGCGGGGCACTAACCTGTCAGCAAGAAGGTGCCAGTGGTCGAGGGGCTCATCCTGCGTGTCCCCCAACCCTGTCCAGTCCAAGCACAAGGGTCGCCCAGCTCCCACCGCCAGGGCAATTGCATTCTCGGCCTGGCTAGGCCGGCAGTCCTCGATTCTCCCCTCCCCTCCCTTTCTTCTTTCCTCCCAGCTTGGCAAATTCAGCATCAGCATTCTGCACCCCCTCGTTAATCCCATACTCCCTCTAGCGGCAGGCCAGTGTAGCGAGGCCATCGCCCACCCCCATCCCTCCCGCCCCCACACCCCCTCCACCCCCCTAACCGCAGAGCACGCTGGGATTTGGCACCCCCCTCCTCTGTTCTGCCTATATAAGGCTCCCAGTCCGTCCTCCAAGTACACGCGCTTCAACTTCGGTTGGTGTGTGTCGAAGAATCCTGACTGCGACCTGGGAGAAGAGCGGAGAGGGTCCACCGAACCTCGCGAAAGGTCCGCTGAGCGGGCTCGCAACCGGAGCCACTCCGGCTTGCGGAGCACCCAGCGGAGCCCACGCCTGGCACAGGTGTGGGACCCGGTCCTCCCTGTCTTCGCAGAGGAGTCCTCGCGTGGTGAGTATGCGGTGAGGACTTTTTTTTTTTTTTTTAGATCACATTCAATCCCTGTTCTTATTGGGAGCTGCAGGAGATGGAGTAGCACTCTGAATATCTCCGTGCAAACCTTGTCACGCCTTCACGGCTGTACTCCAAATCAGAGTGGGGAGACCAAGTCTTCAGGGCTTTGATTTCCAGGACTGAAGTCCAGATATGGGTTATGGACAGACATGAGCTGCGGACAGATATGAGCTGCAGACAGACATGAGCTACAGTCCAATTTGGAATTTGCTCTTCGAATGCACTACAAAGTGGTATATGCTACAAACTAATTGGTGCTTCATGCACTATAGACTGATAAGCGCTTCAGTTGCGCTACTGATGGGCGCTCCAGTGCGCTACAGACGAGTAGAACCTGCAGCAATATGAGCTGCAGACCGATCTGCGCTTTAAACGAGCTACAAAATCTGAGCTGCGGATTAGCGCTACAAAAATGAAATGATTGCACTATAACAGCGCTTCATTCCACTACCCTGCACAGGAACTGCGGAGGTACATGAGCGGTAGAAAAATTTATCCCCTCAAATGTGCTACAAAGTAATAACAGCTGCAGAGTTATCCAAGCTGCCCTGATGGACGGTACAAAGAAAAGAACCGTAGAGGGATATGAGCTGCAGAGTAAAAATTACTGTCTTCTTAGCACAGAGACCCCACCCTTTGTCTCTAACATACCTTTTTTGGAATGGCTCCCACTATGTTTTTCTGCAGGACGGTTCGCTGCATGCTGGTGGTGGTAGACAAAATGGAGCCCCAGGCAAAAATTAGTGTTTAATATTCTACCCACACCAGTCCTGCTATAACAGTGGAGTGGAGGGGTCCTAATTTGAGTATAAAGGAGAGTATCTTGATGGTAGCAGAGCAGAATGCTTTTCCTAGTTGCGCGTGATTGAAGTGGTGGTATAGTTGTAGTGGTGGCGCGAATCAGCGTCCAGCAACAGTTTGTGGGAACTGTTGGTTTGCTTGCGTGGGGTGTGTGGGGGGGGCGGTGGATTGGATCTGAAAGGATTGCTCTTGTTGCATGAAATGAATCTGGCTGTTGGAGGCTGGTGGGAGGGGTATGGAGAGGGGGGATCTTGGGAGAGGCATGCAGCCCGTCTCAGACCTGCCCCGCCCATTCTAGCATGCCTTCTCTGCAGTATCTGCTCAGAGCAGGCTTGGCGCCTCCCAGCGCCTACTTAAAGCGCGCCTCCTCGGCAGCGCGCCTCCTCGGCAGCGCGCCTCCTCGGCAGCGCGCCTCCTCGGCAGCGCGCCTTGCCGGAGCGCGCCTTCTTCGAGCGCGCCTTCTAGATCCTGGCTCCCCGGATCCTGCCTTTTTCTGAGCCCGCCTCCGCTCAGGCTGCTCACCCAGACCCCGCCTCTCTCTGAGCCCGCCTCCCCCCAGGCTGTACTGCCAGACCCCGCCTCTTTCTGAGCCTGCCTCCTCTGAGGTGGTTACCCCAGACCACGCCTGTCCAAAGCTTGGCCGCTCCCTGAGCCAGCCTCCTCTGAGTTGGCCCACAGCCCCGCCCTACAAGAGCCTCGCGCGCCTGCGCAGTGTGAGCTCCCCCCCCCATCAGTCCCGCATCTGTACCTACAGGCTTTCTTTACCTGAGACGAGCTGCACAGCCCCGACCTCCTGCGGTTTCCCCGTGCCCCGGTTTTACTTTTGTCCACGAATGTCTAATAAATACAAGAATAATAAAGAACAATTAAAAACAATAATAATTATTCCTAGAATTAGTATGCACTTTGTATAAGTGCTTTGCATATATTACATAGCATGATCCCACAATTTAAAATACCGACTGGGTTATAAAGGATGCTTAACTGAATCGCTGACGAAACTCTAAAGGCAATCCAGCTAAATGTTTTTACTACAAATGAAAAATAGAATGTTTTAAATAGTTTAACATTTAAGGTTGGTTGTGTGTGTGTGTATAACACTACTGATCCTTTATGGTGATACCTATTGGAATTCCGTGCCTTGGCGGTTACAAAATAAGGAACAACTTGAACTATTTCACAGGAGTTTTAAGTGGCTCATTGGTGCTGCTAGCTTGGCCTCTGAGCAAGGGTGAGGTGTTTATTTGTGTGCCTATGAAGCTAGATTTTTTTCCTTGGAACTCTACGGTATTAGCCCTAGCTAATTTACCTACGTATTTATTAATTGTGCCTGGCAGGCGCTCATTAAATATGTGTCAAATAACCAGAGGAAATTGTTTTATTCGGCGTTTTCCCTGGCATCTGCAGGGTTTTTTTTCTGGTTGTCTTACTCCTGGCTCTTTCCTGTAGTGCATTGCTTGCCTTATCTCTGCGATATGTAACAGAGTCTTTAAAAAAAGTATGCATGTTTACACTATAATAATGTGAGCTGTAATTATAATACAAAACAACTAAATTTAAAATACTCAAAATAATTTAAATATGGGGCAAGTGGATTATTTAATGGTACACAATTGTCATTTAACATTTTTGTAATGTAACATAACGTGGTTACATTTACAAAATATTAATTGAGAGTTTTAACTGGCGTTATTAAATGCCTTTATAAAACAAATTCATACTGTTTGGGGGCTCCCCAAAATCTGTCATACTCCACTCCACCCCCAACAAATATACAAATGTGCTTATAATAATTACAGCTTTCAGTAAGTCTCCAGGCCTCTTTTACTGGACCTTGGTACCCTGACCCCCCTCCTCTTGGAAATTCTCTATCCGCATTTTAAAGAAGTTCTAAACAGTGGTAAACACATGCGTGTTAATGAACTTGCATTTTACAAATAGTGCACATACTAAAAAAAATCTGAGCATTTGAAAATGTAAAACAATTAGAATTGCTTAATGAAGTGTCATTTCCTAATGGAATGTTTAATGTACAGTGGTTTTTAGCTACTATGGCTTTTTAGTGTGTTTGGGGAATAGAAATTTTTAGAGGTCATCCTGGTGAGTCAAAGATTAAATAAATGTATGTATTTAATTCTTAAATAGACTAACACTGAACTCTTTTCCAACAGATAAAAACGGCGTGACTTGGCTTTATGCTGGGTGTCCTTGCAGGTTTTAGAAAAGGGACCTCTTGACCCCCGCCTCCCCAGTCCAGCCTCTATTAAGGGGGCATTTAAGGATCTATAGTTCTGTAATTTCAAATCCAGTCACGATGCTCCTGTTCCCTTGATAACCTGTGTTCCAGTTGCTGTTAAAAATGTTTAACAGCACTTTTAATGGTTAAAGTACTGTGTGCTGGACATTTATCTCTTTTCAAATTTAAGAGTCCCACTCCAAAATTACATTTCCTTGAGGTGAGGACCTGAGGCCCGATATCAGTAAAGGTCAGGGGTCTCAAACTGGGGACCTTGTAGGGCAAATGAGACCCTGAATTTGTTTGTCCAGCACTGGATTAAGAAATTTTTTAAGAATTAAAAGAATTGAATGTATTTTGAGAGGGGGACATACATTCTCGTGTTGCATAGTTGTCTAAACTTAAGTCTTTTCTGTTTTATATTACTTTCCTGCCTACCAAAAGCATTTGAATTTTAAACACTTATTGATATTCTGTTTCCCTAAACAGTTCAGTGATTATTTCCTAATTTCTTGATGTGTTGTTACTTCTAACCTGTCCTTGTGTTTTGCAGATGATTAAAACAATCAGACCTGGGCCTGAATAAAGCCCGCCCCACTGACTGTGATTGACATGTAGGTGAACCTTCCTGACCTTGGTCAGGCTCTACCAGGCCTTTTCAGAAGTCTTCTGTATTTTGAAAGTATTAATGTTTGGATGACAGGAATGGCATCTGAGGCACATGACCTGTGCTTATTAGGATTTTAATGGCACAGTGACACTCTTTATTCATTACATTTAATAAATAAACACTGAATTATCTTGTGATCTTATATTCTAAGTGTCACCAATAAAGTTGTTTGTAAGGAGTTGGAATAAAACTGTCAAACTATGTTGTATTAATTGTACCTTCTAATTATTTCTTAAACTTGAATAGATTATCTTGAATGTCAATTATTCATTGTTTTTGTAGCCTAATTTATGAAAGAACTGGCCAATCAATACTTTAAGTAGAAAGTTTAAAGTATTAAGATGATATGGTAAATCTATCCCTTAAGGATCTGCTTGCTATACAGCCACTCCTTGGAGAGGTCACACCAACACCACAGAGCATAAGGAAAGTAGCCGTGGGTACAGGAACTGGGGCAAGGGAGGGTCCTGAAGGATTAGGGGTGGTTTTAGGGAGAAAGGAGGAAGGGGTATTTCTCTATAGCCAGGGACAGAGCTAAAGTTACAGGTATATTTGATTACCACCACCTTTTTAAAAAATTTCTACCCTCATATCATTTGAAATAGTAGCTATCTTCTACCTAACTTCTCTGAATAATACATATTTATCTTTTTTGTCTTATTTTATGTAAATAATTTGGTATCCATTTTTACCTTTATGGGTCAGAGAAGAACAGGCCTGCCAAGTTAAAATTGAGCAAATAGGCAGTCTGCCTGCTTTATTCATATTGTTTCTAAACTTTTGAGCACTTTCCTAGAGTTTTCCAAAAAGGAGAATTTGATGCTCATT